GGGATTTCACCCACCCCTTGCCGAGCACTTTGACTTCCAGATACTCCAAGCCTGGCACCATTTCCCCTCCTGCTACACAGGAAGGCCAGAAGTGTGAATGGCATCCAAACTGACAGACTGACTAGTGAGATATAAGGTTGTGAATCACTGCTTTAGAGCTGTTCAATTAGTTTGTAGGAGAAGCTCCCTGCCATTTCAATGGACACAGAATGCCTATACTTGACAAACACGTTCAGATCAGTATAGTGTACTATTATCCTGCCAGAAAAATGGAGAAAAGTCACTTATTTCCACAGCCGGGGAGAAAAAGATCAAATTCTACTACAGTCTGCCTATCATGGCTTTTTGCCTAAAACCAAGTGAAATACCTTCAAACCAAAATTCAACTCCTGGATTAAGCATAAATGTACCTGATACAGTACTTTGGAAGGATATCAAGAATGCATGTTGAAAGCAAATTAGCAGGTTGGAAAGAAGAAACAACAGGTTTAAGAATTCACTATATATACATGTGTCAATAGAACAAAACACTTCTGTTCCTGTAGTTTGGTTGTCATTAGTTGTCCCCTCCCCAACATCTGTAGCTGAAACAGGCACAATAATAATAATAATAATAATAATAATAATAATAATAATAATTTTAGAACTTCAGAGCCGGAAGGGCACAGCGGGGAATCAAACTCCCAACTCATATCTAAACCACTGAGCTTGTGTGTTGTCTCTTGCAGTGATGAAAGCTCTGGAAAAAAGTAAACGTCCGATCTCTGAAATCAAGGATGGATCTTCATGATTTAATGTGATTTTTATGGGGGATTCTTGCAAAAGCACCATCAAATTGTAGACCCCAGACCCGCGAATTATTCTGTTATCTGGAGGCTATTCAACGCTAACCGCATTCACCAAGGGCATCTAGCGTAAGTGAGGTGCTGGCCATAGGGATCATCCACTTGAAATCTGGCCTGTGATCTTGGCAGCCTTGTTTACTCCTGCAGGCCTTCCCTGCGGGACCAGTCCTGAAGAATGGGATAATCCCTTACTTGGAGGTGGTGAGCATGGAACCTCTTTTGGCATGCCAAGCGGGCCTGCTTATCTACCACTGAGCTGCTAGCTTTCCACTCTGTCCACCATATGTAATGGAGCCCTTGTCCCTCTTGCAAGAACAACAGGCAGCGTGGGGTGGGGGGGGCAGTGGCCCATTCCAGATTTGGGGAGTGACATAACCATGCGGACAGGCCAACAACTACTGTACTCGTGAATGGCCCTTCCTCGCCCCATGAGCGCGCCAGGCACCCGGCGGGCTTTTCCTCTCCTCTTCTGCGCGGCTCCGTCGTGCGGCTCCCATGCCGGCCGGGCTACGAGGCGCCGCTCTCCCTAGCCATGCCAAGCCCCTCCGCCTTCGCCCTCTCACGGGGCGGCCTCTGGGGGCGCGGCGGCCTCCAGTTCCGCTTCCCGGGCCGAGCTCCAGCTCCTCCTCCGCCGCCTCCTCCTCTTTCCGTGGCCGGGAGCCGGCGAGGGCGCACCGCCTTGGTGGCCGGCTGGCATATATATAGGGCTCTTGGTGGGGAACGGGGGGCACCCCCTCGACCCGGACGGGCGATGAGGCTGAAGGTAAGCAGGCAGGCCAGGGCCGGCTCCCGCGGGCACCGGGATCCACGTGGCGCCCGCCCAGCAGCGGCTCCTCCTCGTTGCTTTCCTGCGTGCGCGCCTTTCCGGCGCAGGCTGCCTTGCTCCGGATCGGGTCTGAGCGCCCGCTCTGCTTCTCTCGCCCCCGGTTAATCTCGGGACCGGGGTCACAGCAGGGGTCTCTCTAGCTGCGCGTTGCCAACCCGGGGTGCCCTCCAGCTGTTGGCAGGCTCCCAACACCCTTAGTTTAATTGGGAGGCCGGCAACATCTGGAGATGTTGGACCTTTTAAGCCACATTGCGCTTGGGACGCCCTTATCCGAATGCTTTATTACCGATTTGTGGTTTTATGGCTCATCTGTGTGTTATTTTCATCAGTGCTGCTGATAACAGCACCAAGCTTTAGTAATTGTTAGATAACTCTGAGGAGGTACATCCTGAAGCTCAGTGATTTAATAATGCAATAAAATAAGTATGCATGCACGTGCATCTCAGTGTACATTTTGCTGCCGATCATATGGAACTCTAGAAGTTATAATAAGTAATGTGTGCAGTAAGAAACATATGCTGTCTTTCTTCACATTTCCCTTTTTAATTTACTGAACAGATAAGGATTGTACAATAATATTGAAGTCAGTTACCAATCTATGGCATTACAAGGAATGAGGATTGACCTTTTCCTCCACCTTGTGTTACACACGCTCCATAGAGCAAGGGTATACACCCTGTAGTCTCCCCTGGCCCTAAGTGTGGCCCACCCCACCCCCGGTGTCATGACCCATTTTGCACCACAAAATCCATCCACCACCACCAGCACTCCCATTTCTAGAGGATTAAAGGGGATTGCCTCATGTGTGTCAGTGCACATGTGCCAGTACACGTCTTTCCTCAGCCAGCATCATGTATGGCTAAAAAAGTTGTACGCCTTTCCACTGAGGTAATATGGGACAGTGGAATATTCATTAAATTTTACCCAGTGTAGGTTTTTTTCCCCCCTTGAGCTGTACTCATCCACTTTTTCCCATGCAGAAATCCTCCCTTTGGCCTAAAACGTTTGATTCTTGGCATCCACTTTTAAAATGGCTATTACCTGCTTCTCAGGAGGTTGCCGAGATTAGGAATTAGAGGGCATTAATGGAGTACGTTGGGTCACAGAATGAAGTGGCTGCAACACAGTTTGACGAATTCACAGGGAAATTTGTTTGTGGATTTGTAGTCTGCTTGTTGCTTGCACTGTTCCTAACCTGCCTTAAATGATTATTTGATGGAGAGAGCAGGCCTTTGCACAGCCTTTTCCAGGATTACTGCCCCCAATTTAATTCAAACTCTGACACAGATTTGGAGAAAGATGCATACGCAAAGTATGCATGATAGGGCTAGATCCTTAGATATGACCCTTGGATCCGTGTACAGATATGGGCTGAAATTGTCTTGTGGAGCTCTGTGTGCACAGCAGAGATAACATCAGAAGCAGTGACGAATCGCCATTGATTAAGGGCAGGTTCAGGGTGGAAGCGACTTGTACACAGTTAAACAAACACAGTGTGATGAGCTTGTGTACCCCCTGAAGTCATCAGAGGATGACCTTAATCAGTAGTGAGTTGCTAATGATGATTTCATCCCCATTGTGCACACAGACGTGCACAACAGGATTTCAACCATTGTGTATGTATTGTATATATATATGTGTGTGTGTGTGTGTTCTCTGGTGGTTGGTTAGTATTGGTAAGATCCCACTTCTACTTTTCTGTACATATCCTATGCCGTGTATGTATTGTATATATATATGTGTGTGTGTGTGTGTTCTGGTGGTTGGTTAGTATTCGTAAGATCCCACTTCTACTTTTCTATTCATATCCTATGCATATTTCCACAGTAGTGACCCCTTTAAATTCAGTAGAACTTGCTTCTTACTCATAGGGGGCTGAAATGAATCTATTGAATTTCATGAGATTAACTTTGAAACAGGCATATCTGAGGAGCTTCTGCAGAAAGATGGTGACATGTCATAGAAGACATGTTTATATGTGTGTTGATCCAGCCCTGCTGTTGAATGAGCAATTTTACAGCTTATTTTTCTAAAATTAAGAAAGGATTTCTTGATGAATATGAGCCAAAGTGGGTGGGTATGCTTTATCCTTGAGGGATTTATTTTTTTAAAAAACCCTGAAGTCCAGAAACCTGGTATAAAAGACACAAAAGTTAGAATGGAAGACTTCAGATCGTGGCGGTTTGTTTTGGGTGTGTGTGTGTCAGAATGAAATGGCATTCACAGTTTTTCCATGCAGAAATCCTCCCTTGATTGCCTTAAGAAGGGAGATGTGTTTACCTCATTTGTGACATCTAAAATATGAAGTTGTTCACATAATACCTGTGTGGTGTAGCTGGTAGAGGAAATGGGACTCCGTTGTCAGATCCGTTGGGTGATGTGAGTTAGTTACTCATATTCACAAGAATGTCCAAATAAGTAGATTTTTTTAGTATGTTGGCAGAGTTAAAGGGGAAAAAAGGGGGAAAGGAGAAATACTGTGGTACTTTAAAGACTAACAGATTTATTTCCCTGTAAGCTTTCATGGACCAAAGTCCACTTCAGAATCTCCATGAAAGCTCATACTAAAATAAATCTGTTTGTTCTTAAAGTGCCACAATAATTTGCCTTTTTCCCCCTCTCTCCCCCTTAACCCCCCTCCACTTAATTTCACAGGGTGGGTTGGAACCATTTATGCCACCGTAGTTAAGGGGTACGATAAAAATGTCATAAATAAAATAAATGTCACTTAGCACACGTCATGGAAAGATCCCAGTGGGACAGAATTTTGACTTGGAGTTTCTGTTTCATACACTTGGTGTAGCCTCAGAGAGAGGGATGGACCAGCAGTGACAGCTGGAAACAGAAGTCTGGGAAAATGGGAAATATACTTTAATATACTTCAGCAGTCTTCAGATGAGGAAGCTAGAAACTTAGATTTAACTATTAATTTATTCAAGTTAGAGGTTAGAAACTGAGGAATTAACTTGGCAGTGTTAATGTTAGGCCATTTTAGGGAGAAAGGCAGGATAGAGATAAAATAAAGAAATATTTTAAACAGAAAAGGTTCAATGTATTCGCGAAGGATTTCGAATGTGTTAATGAAAATGTTAGTTTATGCGCTCTCTATAGAGGGCACATGGCCCCCCAAGACAAGAAGACTTAACATGACTCTGCCATTGGTCCTATACATGAAATTAGGCTAGAACAGTCAGAAACATTAGTTAAGACACATATTAAAAAGAAATGCTAAAGAAGAAAGTCCAGCATATAGTACTGTCAAGTCAATTCTGATTTATGGCAACCTTTTTCAGGGTTTTCTAGGTAGAGAGTACACCAGAAATGTTTTACCCTTCCCTCCTGCTGAGGGCATTCTGGGACTATGCAACTTGCCCAGCACTCTACTCACAGGAAGCACAGTGGGGAATCAAATTCCCAACCTCTGGCTCCACAGGCGGATAGGTAAACCACAATGTAGTGGACAGAGTGATGGTCTAGTACTGTGGAGACCGGAGTGTCAAATCCCCGCTCAGCCATGGAAGCTGACTAAGGGAGCAGATCTGGTAAAACCACCCTTCACGTATCTCACTTTCAAGGTGAAAACCCCATTAGAGTTGCTAGTAAGTTGGCTCTGACTTGATGGCACGTGCGCACACGCACACACAGAGGTCTTTTAGAATTGTAGTTCTGTAGAATTTTAATGTTTTAATCTATGGATCTGTTGTAATATGTATTTTAATACGATAAGTAATGATCGGCTTTTTTTCTACCAAGTGTTTCATAAGGAAGATGTTACTGGCATAATGGCATGCGATGGGTGGGCAGGCGGGAGAACAATCTCCCTACATGATTTATTGGGGCATTACTTTCTTCTAAAAGGATCAAAAGGAGCTCATTTCATTTGATGGCATGTGGGATTTTTACACTGACAAAAATATAAAATTTGAACCCCATGATATTTGAGCTTTGTTTTACTTGTCTTTAGGTTGTGGTTATTTGCATTAAACAGAAATGGAAATAGTTGTTCGCAGTAATTTTATGACCTGTGATAATGGATTTTCTTCCTTCTGTCAGAGTAGACGTATCCTTCACCATTCCCCACGTGCTGTGGAAGACTTCATGATTTAGAGACACTGCCGAGCAAGTGGCAAACATGAGAATCAACCCTGTCATCCAGGCGGCAATTGACCTCACAGCAGGGGCTGTAGGTAAGGCTCAAGAAATTCTGCTTTCACCAGGAAATAACCGTTTGTTTCTCTGCACTTGAGGAAGCCCTTCCTCAGCTGCACAAGGCAGTGTCTGATGAGTTGGGAAAAGTCATGATCCGTGCTTGCCAGAGAATTCTGTCAGTCCAAAAGAGTAACTTTCCCAAGCTTTGAGCGATAGCAGTGTTGGTCTGAAAAAGCATGTGTCTAGTTGTTGGGACACTATGGAGAAAGCGCTTGTTGACTTCTCCCTAGGTTTGCAGTACTTCCCACATCTTAACTTTCCTTCTCTTGTTCTTCCCTTCAGTGAAACCCTGCTGTTGCTGAGAGGTAAATGTGTAAACATTCCTGTCTAATCATTTCCTGAGCATTGCTTTCAGTACACTTAGGGATTAGCCTTCATCCTCACAGGAGTGTTTCAAAATATGTCACAAGTAAAAGTTGAGCAACCAAACAGAAGAGAGATGAGATTATTTTGTTGGTTGGTTTTATTTTATCGTCTTTAGCCAATGCCGAGTTCACAGGCCAGTCAACTGACCATCTGTTTGTCCAAAGTGAGATATTTCAAGAATGTGCCCATGTGGGTGGCAGCTTATCTTCTCCCCCATCTCTTTCATGCCACTGTAGTGTCACTTGTTAGGCCGGACAGGGGTGAGGCCACCTTGTCCTCTAGCCTCGCAGAATAGCCAAAGCGATCTGAATTTTTGCCTAGTTCAGCAAGTGGCATCTCCAGACAGTAGCTGGAGCAGTTGTGCTTCCATCTGCCCAATGAGCAGAAGCAAAGCCGAAGTCCCAAGACCTTACTTAACCAAGATGCTCATGAGAAAAGGCCATTAACCTTTGGTCAGCCTGGCCTAGTTTATAGGGGCACCTTGAGTATTAAATTACATATATACTTATATAACAAGACTAAGCTCCTTGGGAGAAGGGAGAAAAAGATTTATGGAAATACCATGATAGGTTTTGAAAGATAGATAGTACCTTTTCCCCTCACAATAATTTGGATCTGATTAACTGTCACAAATACCAAACCTGTTGTTGTTTTTTTGTTCTGAGTATTAATGCTTAAAAATACTAAATTTTTTAAATGATATTAACAGAACAAGTGATCACCTTTAAAACAGTGCCATTAAGCAGGAGTAGGAAATCTCTCTCTCTCTCTCTCTCTCTCTCTGCTTGTCTATGGATAGCAGCTTCCGGCGTAGCCAGTGGCGAGAGATGATGGGATCTGTAGTCTGATAACATCCAAAGAAAATAACATTTTCCCTATTTCTGCCATCAAGGATCTGAATTCCTTTGTGGTAATGTCCACATCATCCTGTGGAAGTTTTTTTTTTTAAATTTAAAATATTTCTACCCTGCCTTTCTCCTTAAGAGAACCCAAGGCAGGTTACATAACTGGAAGGGGAAGGGAAACTCAACAAAAGAAAAGAAAACAGCAGCCCACCCCCTAGGCAGCCAGTCACTGAGAAAAAGCTTGCCTGAAAAGGAAAGTCTTTGCCTGCCTGCCAAAGGACAGAAAGGAGGAGGCCAGCCTGACTTTCCGTGGCAGGGAGTTTCACAACTTCAGGGCAGCCACAGAGAAGGCCCTCTCCCGTGTCCCCACCAAAGGCACCTGTGAGGGTGGTGGGACCAAGAGGAACGCCTCCCCTGATGATTTTAAAACCCGGGGAGGCTTATCAATGCAAATGCAGTCGTTCAAGTCGCTTAGAGATTTACACGTCAAAACTGGCATACCCAGTGTGTGTGTTGGATAGAGTGATGGACGAGCGCTCAGGAGGCCTGAGTTCAAACCCTCACTCAGCCATGGGAACTTACTGGGTGTGTGGAACTGGTAAAACAACTGTTTAAATAATTTACTTACTTTGAAAGTCAGGGTCACTATAAGTTGTTTCCGCCTTGACAACATTGAACAACAGCACTTTGAATTGTGCCTGGAGGTTGACCAGCAGTCTGTGGCCTGTCATAACAGGAGTTATGTGATCCCTGTAACCAGCTTTAGTTAACAATCTGGGTTTGTGTTTTGGCTCTGTTGAAGTTTCCAAAGGCAGCCCCACATGGAGTGTGTTACAGTAATCCAAACAGGGTGTAACTAAGGCATGTGTCACTGTGGCCATTGTCGTATTGACCATGTCACATCCCTTGTCTTGTTAGGAATTTGTACAAAGGAGTTGTGGGGCATCTAGAGGGCATTCCTAAACCCAATCTCTCTCTCTCTCTCTCTCTGCTTGTCTATGGATAGCAGCTTCCGGCGTAGCCAGTGGCGAGAGATGATGGGATCTGTAGTCTGATAACATCCAAAGAAAATAACATTTTCCCTATTTCTGCCATCAAGGATCTGAATTCCTTTGTGGTAATGTCCACATCATCCTGTGGAAGTTTTTTTTTTTAAATTTAAAATATTTCTACCCTGCCTTTCTCCTTAAGAGAACCCAAGGCAGGTTACATAACTGGAAGGGGAAGGGAAACTCAACAAAAGAAAAGAAAACAGCAGCCCACCCCCTAGGCAGCCAGTCACTGAGAAAAAGCTTGCCTGAAAAGGAAAGTCTTTGCCTGCCTGCCAAAGGACAGAAAGGAGGAGGCCAGCCTGACTTTCCGTGGCAGGGAGTTTCACAACTTCAGGGCAGCCACAGAGAAGGCCCTCTCCCGTGTCCCCACCAAAGGCACCTGTGAGGGTGGTGGGACCAAGAGGAACGCCTCCCCTGATGATTTTAAAACCCGGGGAGGCTTATCAATGCAAATGCAGTCGTTCAAGTCGCTTAGAGATTTACACGTCAAAACTGGCATACCCAGTGTGTGTGTTGGATAGAGTGATGGACGAGCGCTCAGGAGGCCTGAGTTCAAACCCTCACTCAGCCATGGGAACTTACTGGGTGTGTGGAACTGGTAAAACAACTGTTTAAATAATTTACTTACTTTGAAAGTCAGGGTCACTATAAGTTGTTTCCGCCTTGACAACATTGAACAACAGCACTTTGAATTGTGCCTGGAGGTTGACCAGCAGTCTGTGGCCTGTCATAACAGGAGTTATGTGATCCCTGTAACCAGCTTTAGTTAACAATCTGGGTTTGTGTTTTGGCTCTGTTGAAGTTTCCAAAGGCAGCCCCACATGGAGTGTGTTACAGTAATCCAAACAGGGTGTAACTAAGGCATGTGTCACTGTGGCCATTGTCGTATTGACCATGTCACATCCCTTGTCTTGTTAGGAATTTGTACAAAGGAGTTGTGGGGCATCTAGAGGGCATTCCTAAACCCAGTGTTGCCAGCTGAATGTTGTTGGGATAGGCCAGATGAAAGGCACACCCACTGTTGATAGGGAAGAATGCTGCTGTAGAGTCCCTCATGCCCCTTTGCAAGAAAGTGGTGTGTGGAAAGCTACTGCTGACCGCAGTTGGGGATGAACAGCAAAAACAGGCCTTGTCCTGGTAGGGGTGAGTTGGCATTGGACCTGAATGAAGATGGCGCAAGCCCAGTCTGAAGCCATTTGTTTTGCCAGCCTGGAACTGCTCTAAACATCCCTTCCAGCTGAATTGGGACGCAGTATGACATCTGTCAGACCTTTTCTTCTACAGGCCCACTTGGTCAAAGACTTTGGGTTTACTCTAGTGTCATGACTGGAAGTCAGTTTGGGGGAGGTTATCTTTACTTGGCATCATATGCCTGCACATGGGGACTAGCATGGTGAGGAGAGTCTAGATACAGGAGGCAAAAAGCCATGGAATACAACAGGTCAAGAGGTCTGTGACCCTTGTATGTAAAGTTCAAATTTATATAAGATAAGAACAACAGTCTCATGCTTCCTGAGGGGGATTTCCCTGCTTAACCGCACTATGAGAGCCAGTTTGCCAGAATCTCTTATCATTTTGAGAAGGGCTACTGCCCCTGGGCTTTATTTGAGGAAGGATCACATGTGGTCTTCCTAAGAAAGGAGTGCATATACAGTGGTGCCTCGCATAACGAGCACACAGTTTAACAACGAATCCGCATAGCGATGCAGATTTTGCTATTGCTTTTGCGATTGCATTGCGATGTTTTAAATAGGCAAAACATCGCATTGCGATGATTGGTAAGCGTTTCGCTTACCGATCTTCGCATTGCGATGCTTTAAAACAGCTGATCACCGGTTCCAAAATTGCCGCCGGGTGCACAAAATGGCCGCCTGCAATGTTTTCGCGCTGATTCCTCGCTTATCGAGGCGGCAAAAATGGCGGCTCTATGGAGGATTCCCGCTTAGCGGTGAGTTTATCCCCCATAGGAACACATTAAACATAGTTTAATGCATTCCTATAGGGTTTTTATTTCCGTATAGCGACGTTCCGGATAACGACGATTTATCCGGAACGGATTATCGTCGCTATGCAAGGCACCACTGTATACACCATCCAACGGGCCTGTTCAGAGTAGATAATGTCTGTTATTCTCAACCTTGGATAATCCAGCTATTCTTAGACTACAACTTCCAGAAATCCTGGCCAGCACAGCTAGAGATGAAGGCTTCTGGGAGTTTTAGTCCAAGAACATCTGGGGACCCAAGGTTGGGAACCATTGTGAAAAAAAATATAAGCACGTAGAATTCCACTGAAGCAGAGCAAAATCCACTTGTTCTAATGATCGTGGGTTTTCATTCCACATGCCTTTTTCTTAGTCTGAATTTCAGCTCTCAAAAGCTCAGTCTGTACTGCTTTATTATTTCTGTCGTGTGACCCCATTGAGACTTCCAATGTTCATCCCATCC